TATAGAAAGCTCTTATTTATAGTGGCTTTTATCTTAGTCATTATGCTATCTGCTTTTGTAACCTGGAATGTTTTTAATTAGATCCTTCATGGAACAATGGCGACAAATCCGCACACTATAAAATTCTGCAGATTCTGTTCTATTAAAGCAGAAGATTAGAGGATGGCAAAGCTAGAAACTATAAGTTTTATTTGCTTTTTTCCTGTATCTTAATATGAACACTGATCTTTTCTCTCTTGGTTAAGAAAAATATATTTCCAACTTTTTAAATAGAGGGATATAACTTCAAGTGTTAGTTGTTTTTAGTATATCAAACACATTCTAAATTCATGGAATGAAAAGAAAACCCTTTATCTCGGAGACCTACATGATTTCAGACACCGTCAATTGCTTATAGTTTGTCCACCATAGTAGATAAAATGACATGTTTTAAAATTTATCGTTTGACATCAGTCCATGATATACTGTAACCCTGCTTAAAAAGACGCCACTGTGAAGGAAAGATGCCATTATTACGTTTTGCCTTAATGGACTCCCTTAAGAGTGTTATTAAATCCAATTAACTGCTGAGTCCAGGTAAATAATATAAGCCATGTTGGAAATACTTTTCTATTTGCAACTTCTGAAGTGTGATTGGAAATAATTAAACAACCACCCACTCAAAGTCACTGCCATTGCGTCGGTGCTGACTCGGAGCAACCCCGTAGCACAGGGTAGAAGTGTGCAAGGCTTTCTCAGTGGGGAGTAGAATGCCCTGTCTTCCTCCAAGATCATTATCGAAACAGAAACTCCAGTGTATATCTCATCATATGCATTTTCTTTACAATGTATCCCACCGCATTTCTGATTGTATGAGTTTTTATTTTGACTTGTTAGCTCTACCATAAAAAGGTTTTAAGAAAATTTTACTTCAGTGTCATTAGAGCACTCAGAAGTATTCCAGATTCTGAGACTTATAAATATGTTATAAACTTTCCCAAAAAGCTCTTCACTTATTTTAAATGATAGAATTAGTGTGGCCACATTTGTAAGGTAACCCAGTGGAAATGTCACAGGTTTTAATGCAATGAAACATGTATGCAATAAACGATCCTGAAGTCTAACTGCCCCATTGAACATTTTGTCAATAAGAACTCTGAGGACTTCTGTTTTAGAGCATCATGCATTCCCATCAGATAACAATAGCTTGTATGTTGTTGTTGTTAGTTGCCATCTACCAGTTCTGACTGATGGGTCCCTTTGTCTGGTAGAATGACCCGTTGCCCGGCACAGGGCCATCATCGCCATGTTGGATCCACTGCTGTGACTGCTGTCTCAGTCCAGTTCACTGAGATTTTTCTCTCATTTATATGCACAGTAAATGTTCTTAGGATGATTGAACAAAGGAATGAAATTCTGTCTGCCTTAGAGTAATTTCATAAAATTTGTGGAATGCAATTATTTCAACTAGGTTTACATTACTGGTAAAAGAAATATAGTTGATAGGTCTGTTTATTTGTTTTCTCCTCTGTGTTGTCATTAGTTCTGATGCATAGTGACCCTATATACAACTGAATGAAACACCACCTCCTGATCCTTGGTCCTTCTCCATCCTTAAAACTGTTCTTATGTTTGATCCCATTGTCGCCGACACTGTGCCAACAAGATGGCTTGTTGAGGATCTTCTTCTATTTCAGTGATCCTTCCACTTCACCGCGCGTGATGTCCTGTCTTATGATAATATGTCCGTAGGAAAACTGAGTGTGGTGTAACTTTCAACAACATCTTTACCCATTGAAATGATGTCCCCCCAGCTTAGATTCAAGGAACTTCATCCAACTAGTCAGATATTCTCTCTTTGGCTCATTTTCATATATATTAATTTTAACGTATTACAATATGATTTCATGACTGCTACTCCACATGAGAATTGATTGTGGATCCAAGTATAAAATCCTTGAGAATGTCAATCTTTTACCCATTTTTCATGATGTTCTTTATCAGTCCAAATGTGAGTGTTTTTATTGTCTTTACGTTGAGTTGCAATCCGTATTGAAGGCTGTAGTCTTTGATCTTCAGCCTAAAGTGTTTCAAACCCTCTCCAATCTAAACCAGCAAGATTGTTTCTTCTGCATATCAAAGGCTACTAAATAGCCATCCTCCAATTCTGGTGTGGTGGTTTTCATATAGTGCAGCTTCTTGGATTATTTGATCAGAATACATATTGAATCTTGTGAAAGATTCTATAGGCAAAATATTGAATGATGCAGGAAGCCTCAAGAGAAGATGGAAACAATGCACACAATCATTGTACCAAAAAGATGTAATCAACAATCCACCATTTCAGGAGGTAGCTTATGACCAAGAACCAATGGTCCTGAAAGAAGTTCAAATGTACCAGATGCATCAGCCAAAAGCAAGTCTCCAGGAATTGAAATGTGTCAGAAAGCTGAAGCAGCCCTCATCCTCTACGCCAGAATATTTGGAAGGCAGGTACATGACCCACTGGCTGGAAGAGATTCATGTTGTGCCCATTCAAAAGAAAGGTGACCCAACAGAATTCCCAAACTATTGATACAAGTAAATTTTTGCTTAAGATCACCCAAACACTCTTGCAGCAATACATTGTCAGAGAACTTCCAGCAGTCCGGTCCAGATCCAAAATTGGATGTGGAACAAGGGGCAACAGTGCTGATATCAGTCAGGTGGATCTTGGCTCAAAGACTAGAATACCAGAGAAATGTTTCGTTGTGTCTCATTGACTGTGCAATGGCAGTCAACTGTGTGGACCATAACAAACTGTGGAGAAGCTTGAGGAGAATGGGAGTTCCAGAACCTTCATTGTATTCATGCGGAGCTTGTACATAGATCAAGAGACAGTTGTGCAAACAGAACAAGGGAACACTTTCTTGTTTAAAATCAGGAAAAGTGTTCATCAAGATTTTATTCATTCCCCATACTTACTCAGTCTATAGGCTGAGCAAATCATAAGAGAAGCTGCCTTACAGGAAGAAGAGTGCCACGTGAGGATTGGAGGAAGATTCATTAACATCCTGTGATATGAAGATGATACAACCTTGCTTGCTGAAAGTGAGAAGAAATTGAAGCACTTGCTGATGAAGATCAAGGTAGAAAGCCTCATCTGTCTCCTGTGAAGCAGCTGATAGGTTTGAACTGCTGACCCGGCATTTGTCAGCCCGTTGAGTGACCCACTATGCACCAGGACGAAATACCCAAGCTTCTTCTCTTTTCCTACCCTTGAAGTTCCTCCAGAGTCTCCCCTTGGTGAAGCTCACCAGAATGGAAGCCAGTAAGCTTGGAATATAGGTGGTTCCTAAGAGTCAGTGTTTTTATGAGTAGAAATAAAGTTGAAAGGCAACATTTTTGAGGATTAAAGAATTTACTAGAAGATGGAATGAAATCTACTTCTGTGTGACTTTAATAATTAAAACCAGAAAATAATGATGAATCTATTCTGACCATAGTGACACTCTAGGACAAAATATTGCTGCTCAATTAGATTCCCAAGGTGATAAATCTTTATAGCAGCAGATCAGTGCATCTTTCTCCAGGAAGCGCCTGGTGGATTTGAACTGCCAATATTTTGATAACAATACAAGCATTTTAACCATTGTGTGCTTTCTTTAATAATTCAATCTGCCATTCACTCAGTGCTGACTCATGGAGACTTTATAGGACAGGTTGAACTTGCTCCCTCGCTTGTAAATGTGGGAGGAGATGGCCTCATCTTTAGCCTACACAGTAGCTGATGGGTTTGAACTGATGACCTTGCATTTATCAGCCCAATGCTTAACTCTGTATGCTGGCAGGGCTCCTTCTTGAATAACTAGGTGGGTGAAACCCTATCTTTCCACAGCAGCAGATCAAGAGAGTATAAACACATCATGACTCAGAGAGCTATTTCCAGTACTCTGGTTTTAAGACCTCATAAGACCGCCACTTGTATTTGAATACACATGGCTGCAGTGTGTCTTCAGCAAAAGTAATCACGTGGCAAGGCAAGAGCGTCCAGCCAGTTTTCCCCGAAAGTACCTCCAGCGCATATGGGTTTCGATTTTAAGATTTTGCTTCCTAAGAAGCTTCAAAAGTTACTATTGTGAGAATAACAGTTAATATTTTTAACTTATTATGCTCTTGCCACACAGGGAAATCTTGCCACACAGGGAAATGGAGGGGTTTATAAAATTTAATATCCAATAGTACCATATATACCCGTGTATCTGCTGACTTTTTCAGCACATTTTTTATGAGGTTTTTGTGGTAAAATTAGGTGCCTTTGCTGATATTTGGGTTGGCTTATACTTGGGTATACACAGTAATATCCTTGGTAGACAAGTTATAATTATGTTATCTATCTCTTCAGTGTTACTCAGATTCTTATGTTCACCTTTCTTATGTACATTTAGATTATTCAAACATACCGCTGACTTAGTTGCTTCAAACTGTTTTCACGTTCATACGAAATCCAGACTTAATCCTAATGGATCTGTAAAACTAGACTTCGGCCAGGTCAGTGATTCGCCTGCTACTCCTCAGGAGAAAGCTGTGACAAGCTGTTTTGGGGTCCTGTCAACTGGATGGCAGCTGGTTTGGGAAATTTTTAGGTAATAAATTCAAAAATGGGAACATTTTTATTCTTTGCAAAAAGTCATTTTAATATCAGTCTTGCTCCACAGGTAGATGACAGCACCCTTCAGGGTAATAGGTTTTTAACCCTCAAAATTAAACAAGCAAGCCCAAACCCCAAGCACGGTGATCCTATCAGTTCTGGCTCATAGGGCTCCGGAGGCTGTATCTCTGTCCCGCAGCTGTCAGCCTCATTCTCCTTCCAAGGAGGGCCAGTGGGTTCTGACTGCTGGGCTGGTCGTGAGCGGCCCCATGTGTAACCCGCTACAGTGATTGTCAGCTTGGCTTCTCGTTTGGAACTCGGGTTTTGAATGGAGCCTTATAGAGAGCTCATGTTTCCACTGACAAACTGGATGTTCATTTTCTCGTTGCAGACGTTTGGAGCAGAACTCCATCAAGGTCATCCCTCCAGGAGCTTTCTCGCCGTATAAAAAGCTCAGAAGAATGTGAGTGAGCAGTCATCTGGAATAGATGTCATTTAACAAAAGTACATGTGTTGTAATTGTCTAAAGAAAGCCATCTCAGTATGATTATGGAAGTGTTTGACAGCTGAAGCCCTAAGTAATTTCCATGTCTGTTTGCTAGTTCCATAATAATCTCTCAATGAAATGACTAAAATGTTGTTTTTTAAACATCTGTGCTATTTCTTCTGTTGTTTAATGCATTTATGTGATGGTGAGTGTATGTAATTGACAGATTATGTAGTCTGATTCTTACATGATTTATGTCCCCAATTCTGGCATGGCATGTTTAACAGTATTTTAGAGAAATTGTTCAAAATATGGAGCCAGGGTGGTGTAATAAGTTCCTTGTTGGGCTATCAACCTTGAGGTCATCAGTTCGAACATACCAGGTGCTCTGTAGTAGAAAGATGAGGCTTTCTGATTTCAAACAGATATACAGCCTCAGAAAACAATAGTGGTGGCTAGTCCTCCTCTGTCCCAGAGTGTGGCTATGAATCGGAATCGGCTCAATGGCAATGGACTTTGAATCAAGAATAGATTATAAATAGATTATAAATCAGAGGGCTCTTTGTTGTTGTTGTTGTTTTTAATGTTGCAAATCTTATGCAGGTCTGGAGAGCTACAACCAAGTACATGAAAGCCATGAATAGCTTTGTCCTGCAGTAAACCTCTCCATATTTCTATCTAACTGAACCTAACTCTATTTCTCATCATAGCGATCTGAGCAATAATCAGATCTCGGAGCTCGCACCAGATGCTTTCCAAGGGCTACGCTCACTGAATTCACTGTAAGTATTGACCCTGCTGTGGAAGGAATGCATGAGTCACAAGTAAGACCGAACTGCACTGCTGAGTTTGGGTGTCATAAAAATATCCCCTTAAAGTTGGTCATGAGTTATGACTCACAGTAACTATCAATGAGTGCCTTTGCTTTTTGGAGATATGCTACCTGACATTGAAAGCAAACTTGTTGGTTTGTTTCTCTTTGCTTTATGTATGTATATATATATAAACATTTCTACATATTGTGATGTGGGTGACAATGCACAGAGTCAATTGGTTTTCCATGTAACAAGCCATCCACGTTTTCCTTCGGGATCTTGATTACTGTTCCCACAGACGACAGCACTGTTCCCACTTCCTTCAGGTGTTTAGGGTTTCCCGTCTTCCTTCCTGACTGCTGATCTGGAGACTGGGCGAAAAAGTTTATTCTGAAGTTTTTTGGTTAATGAAGCATTTAAAAGCTTCAAGCTGAAAGTCCCTCTCCAATGACAAGTTCAAGTGTCATCAGAATGGTGCTTGGTGAATCCTGGCTGGGAGCCATTGAGGAAGATAACCAGTAAAAGGACCTGACTAGCCCTGAGTTTATCACCGTCATTCTTTTATGACAGACCCACTGTCCCTTCTCAGAGAAGAAAGTCTGACAGCTTAGTCTTGATACCACAGGGACACGTGAGAGATAGCTCTGTAAATTATAGAGCTTAAAGTAAATGTACAAAGGTTGCTATGCCTTCAAACTTGCAAACAGCATCTGAAGTCCACCATGTAAAGTAACCAGAATTTCATGTTCAAGTTTAAAGAGAGAGACTGGCTGCTGCCTGGTTGTTTGAAGAGCTGAAGCTTAGAGAAGGAGGCATCTTTGCGAGATAAAGACCTGCAGTGTGTCACAGAGATTTGGGAAATTCTGAAGTCAACCATGCACATGCACATGTGCCTGATAACCACCAGGAGTGACTACCAAGTGACTCTCATCCTAACCGAAAGCCACACGAGGCAGAAGGATTCATCTGGGGTGCAGAAAAGGAGAGAGAGAGAAAAGAACATGTATCCCAATAAATGTTAATAATTACTAAGGATGGTTTTCTAGATCTAAGAACTCATGATGCACGATTATGTGCATCTCATAAAATAAGGGACGAGAAATATACATCCATCTATCAACAGACCAGGTTGGCTTGGTTGGAATGTAAATCATTATGACAGGGACACCCAACCTCGCAGTTCTCCTGGAGAAATGCACACATGCAATCTTATGAAGGGTCCGCATGGGGCTGCATTTTAGTCAGGAACTGAACTCTCTGGATGTTTCCAGTTTAAAATGGAGCAGAACGCAAATGAGCGAGAACAGTGTTTCCAAAGTAGAAGACTTGCATCTGAGACTCTGCTGTCAGCAAGCAAGGCAGGAAGGCAAGAAAGTCAAATCGAGTTGTTGGTGAGGATGGTTGGTGAGGATGGTAGGGTTTGGATGTGTTCTTAAATTATTCTAGAGAAAGCCAACATGTAATTATGGGTGTCATTTCCCTGATGGTGTTGACATGTCGTCACCTTCTTATCCCCCCATAAAATAAACAACTAAACAACTATTCAGAGTTGTTCAGTATCACAACATGAGCTCCACAGATATGGGCGGGACTCTGTACCCTCCGATGCATGATGGATACCTAAGGAGAAATAAAACAGACCCCCCCAAACTCCTTCAGGCTAACCACTAATAACCAAGGAAAATGGACATGCAATGAATTATACCTGATCATGGGCA